ACAAAATTGAAACAAAAGACTCCGGAACACTCTGGAAAAGAACAAAATGAGCGCAAAAGTCTTAGGAACTTCCTCTCGAAGAACCACTTGAGAACTGAACTCTCAGGAACTTCCTGACTGAGAACGAAACGGGAACGAATCTTCTCTGGATTATTCGTGAATGATGGAAAGGAGAAAACAATTTTCTAATAGCGTTGTATTAATTTGAACTGAAACATAAATATGCAAATGACGTCAAAGAAAAGACACGAACTTTTCTAGCACCGAAAAACAAAAAATTATTCCATAAATGTATAGTGCATTCTAATGATAAACGATCTGGTTCTGATCCAGCTTTCCTCTGGCTTAGAATTAAAAATCATCGTGTTCACTGAAACAAGTTTTCATCCGAACACGCAGACGCCCCTCTCATTCTTAACGTTAAGTTCCCAATACTTTTGTGCTCAATTTATTCTCTAGCAGAACGTTTCCCAGGTGTTTGTTCTTATTTCATCCTCCTTGTAAACGTTATCGAAACTTTCGTTCTTATTTTGTTGTCATTGAAAACGTTCCCGTAAATTTAGTTCTCATTGTGCTCTTCTCCTCTCATTTTCAGTACATCACCATTTGAGACAGGACGTTTTTGAACCAAGTTTCGAGGTAGGGCGTTTTTGAGACAGTTTCTGAGATAGGGCGTTTTCGAACTAGCTGCCGAGGTGTGTGGATCATTCATTCAGGCGACGATATGTGTATATCATCACGTTAAACAATTTTCTGTGTGCTCAGAATTTATGAGTCCAAAATGAGTCTTTCTTTCTTCATAAATATGATTCTGAGACCAGTCAACCAGGCTAACTCATATGAGACTATTTTGGTGTCAAATATTATGAGTGGAACAAAAGTAATAAAGTAGAAAAGGAGTTTTTTATTAATCAGGATTATGAGAATATTATTTTTTTTTAAGATACACAAAAACGTCATATTTCAGACTCTAATTGGACTCGTATTGGCGTGCCCTTCCAAGAAGGGAAAAAGGCTCTTTTCTCTGACTCCTTTTTGAGCTCATAATGTGGGTGCCAACTCAAAATTCTGAAACTTTCTGACTCTAAAATATGTCCGAATGTTTATAAGGCTATTACTTTTAACGAGCGATTGTTTTATGTATATACATATATACATATCGTCGTTTAAAGTGCAAAACCGCGTATCAACAAAATGCAAAACCGCGTATGTGAAGTTGTAGAAATTATTTTTTAGAGCGTACAAACACTCATATTTCAAAATAGTTCTCTTTTTTATAAAGCAATCGCATATCTGCCTAGTATATTTCAGGACGAATGGATAAGGATTGAGCCAAGAGCTTGTGTGAGCAAATCCAATTTTTGGCAGCCAATGTCAGTTACGCGGTTTTGTACTTTAAACGACGATATGTATGTATGTATACATATAAATATATTCATAGGTTTCACGGAAACGCTTAAAATGATTTCGATGAAATTTTGTATTCAGATAATGTTTTTAATATTAAGGTAAACAAGTGTTAACTCTAGAGATATACGTACAAAGTTGCCGCCTATTCGAAACTACTTTTTAATAAGTTAAATAAAACATTATTTTGGGGATCAAGTGAAAAGTATTTTAACAAGTAAAAATGTCTGAATTCGGGCGGAGCTGAACATTAAATACCGGGCGCAAATATTAAATATGGTTTTTTCACCTTTCCGTTTATGTTCAGTTAGACTTAATGAGTTAAACTTATATAGTTACACATATGTTGGCGGTATAACGCCCAATTTCCAAAATTCCATAATAATGTTACTTCTTTTTAAGGAATTGTTGTTAGTATCAATTTTGGGTAAATTTGTGTCCTTAAATTTCGAAATATCGAAGTTTCAAGTATTTCTGAAATTAACCGTTATATGAAAAGTGGGCGTAATTTTAGCCCGATTTTAATAATTTTTAACGCTTTTCTTTTATGTGTTAAGCACAATAATCATACGGAGTTTTGTACAAATTGATCGAACGGTTACCGAGCTAGAGATATGTGTGGTCATAAGTAGGCGGGGTCACGCCTAATTTCTTAAATTATATCATACACGGTTTTTTGCTAAAAAGTTATTGCAAACATCAATTTTGAATAAAGTAGCTTCTGTATTTACTTATGTATCGAAGATTCTGTATTTCTCTAAATTACCGTTATATGGCATGTGGTCGTGGTTATTGTCCGATTTTAAAAATTTTCGCCCATTTGGTATGCTGTGCCGAGAAAATATACCAATTTTGTATGATTTTGAAACCAAGAAATATTTGGGGTTACTTTACATCACTTTACGTAGAAATGGTATAGAATTCTTGAAAGTGAATATTTTTCGATCGGAAAACTCTGTTTCTCTTCAAAAGGGTCTCAATAATAATACTATATTTTTTATTTAATCATTATTTCATATTAACTATATTTTATAGGTCTGCCAAAAACCCCAAATAATACAATGGGGGACGAATAAGAAATGTTTAATATTAAACAAATTATTAAGTAAATAATTGGGAATTATTTCTGAAAGTCTTCTAAAGAGAATCAGAAGATTTCAGTCCAAAAATATTGATTTTCAAGAATTCTATAACATTTCTACGATCTTTTTGTTCTCTTTGAGCGACTTCTAAATATTTTTTGATTTCAAAATAAAAAAAAACTCCGAATTTTTTTTTGGACCATGCTAATATACACAGTAGATACATATTGACACCTGAGTGAAAGATCGACCTATGTCGGCAACCAGTTTGAAAACTCCCTATCTCAGAAAACTTTTCGAGAACGCCCTATTTCAGAATTTGCTTGAGAAATACCCTATCTCAAAATTTGGTCGAAGAACGTCCGAACATTATTATCGGTGTTAATGACGTGAGTGCCAAGGCGCGAATACGCTGACTGTTTTATGAGAGTAGATACTTCGGTGTATCCCCGCTGTGCTTCTCGATCTAATACAGAGAAGGAAGAACAGATGTTGCCCTTGTTTTTACCGACTATGTCGATGTCGTCGACATACGCCATAGTTTTAATCAACTTTTATTAAAGTTCTATTTTGAAAACCTCACATTTTGTCAAGTGGGTTGACTTCATTCTAACACTTATGTATGCCATGTTTTTGGTTAAAACTTAAACAATTTTTTGTTATCAATTTTAACACATAATCAACACCGAATGCTATAAAACTGAAGCCACTCTTTCCCTATTGATAACTAATATAATTGATGTTTTTGATACCTTATGAACATGTGTATTTTTGAATTATATACATGTACGCTTATTATGCTCCAATTAAAGATAAGCCTCGAAACGTTTGATGCTCTATATACCTACTTGTAGGTACATAAATATTTCAGCGGGCAACAAAAGTGATTTACTACCAATTGTTGGATGAGCGTCAAAACGGCTAGTCAGTCGCTAGTAACTTACACGTATCTATGTATAAGACCACAAGTTTCTGGTTGTCTAACAGTTGGTCTGTCTATTTGTTGATGTGTGCTACAAACCTAAGCATCAACGATCAACGATCAACGAGTTTATATCCATCGATTGCTCGTCAGATGGCATTTTGCAACTTGAACTGGAGCTGAGCAAACGTAAAACAACCGCAATTTACCGTCAATTACAAATCGCAACCAACGACTATTAAAAGCAGGTAGCCGCCTAACTATTTGCTGTGTACGTGCAGAGCGGTATCCGGCGTGCATCGCCGTACATTTTCGTAATTGTGTTTACATCCATACATATGTATGTATGCAAGCGAAACCCAACCACCACTCGACAATGGCTCATCAAATGTCTCCCTTAAAGCTGTTCCTGTCGCTGCTTCTAGTGTGGTTTACTGTCCGCCGCTCCACTGAGTCTGATTTGTGGTCCATTGTATTGGCAACGATGGCGGCTAGTGCAGGGCTTATAAAAGTGGGTGCTGCAGGTGGCCGCCATTACGGTGGTGGAGATGGTGTGGGTGTTGGCGTAACGACTAATGTAAATGATTGTTTCGAGACATATTTGCAGCAGAGTCGCAATGCGAGTAACACCTATGCAACGGCATACAGAGATTGCCATGTTTTTGATGTGGACAAACGTCTACTTTATGCCGAGGAGCAGCAACCTACGCGAGAAGGTGTAACGAAGGCAGTGGACGAGATGTGCACAGCTTTTCGCGATTGTGCGGAACGTGAAAGTGATTTGGCTTTCTTTCAATGCAATAGGAACAATGTGAGTGATTAAAAGAAAGTCTTTATACAATTTAGTGCATTCATGTGTATGTGTGGTCGAGTTTTTAGGCAAACAAAGAGAGTATCGATTAACCAAGTATGGAGCATGCAAAAGTAATTTCAGAACTCTGAGTTTACTAGAAAAAATTAGAATTTCCAAAGAAAATCAGCAGTTGATTTTCAGCCACATATTTTAAGTTTTTTAAATTAGTTTTTTAGCGTTCCTTGCTTGCTGAAAACCCGACCACCAACTAAATAATTTCAATTTTACTTACTGACACAAGTGCTGCTAAAACTGTTTCATTTTTATAATTTCCCTTTCAAAATACCATCAATAGTCGTACAAAAATATATACACACTAATGAACGTATATTTAAATTCATCGGCTGCCATTGTGGAATTGGAGAAAAAATACCAGGAAGCGGAAAAGGAAATGCTGTTGTGCTTCATTGCTGCAGACAAGCAATATCTCAATTCCACAGCAAAAGCGTATGTGCAGCTTTCGAGATGCTTGAAGGGCGGCTGAAGATTTTGTTGCTAATGTTTTAATTTCGGGTACACATAAGTGAAGTTGTTTAATTTTTAAGTAAGTTTAGCTTAGTTTTGTTTTTTAACTAGTGCCCAGCCACCCTTATATTAAGTACTAATATTATGAATGTAAAAGTTTGTATGTTTGAATGTTTGTTACTCAATCACGCAAAAACGGCTGAACGGTTTGGAATGCAACTTGGCACGCAGATAGCCTATTATTTGGATTAATATGCAGGTTACCTCCTCCGATAGCTGGAACAGAAACTGCTCTACTCGAAAAATCATAGTTATGGTCCGATTTGCTTGAAATTACTCGTTCATTAGAGTAGCCAAAAATGCAACGTGTTCAATTTGGGATAAAGAAAAAAATCTGGATATATGTAGCGTGAGAAAGCCATGCGGTTTAGACTTAAAGTCCAAAAATCTACCAAAAAATTGTAAATAGCATTAAAGACCAATATCTCTTAAGTATGTAAATATTTATTTGAAGCGCAAATTATACACATTTTTATGTTAAATGGGAGTGTTTCTCTCATATAAACTCTTGGCCTACAAGTTTCCATTCTTGGGATATTAAGTGGTCGATTTAAAATTTTTCAAAAGTGATTTTCTAATAATGGCTAAAATAAATATTTAAAAAACAGTGAATTATATAAGCTTCACAACGTTTAATAAGCTGTTTCATCCAAATAAGATTTTAGTTAATATGCCTTTTTAAAGCCGCGGGAGAATCTTAAAGTGAACAAAAGCACGAATTTATTTATTTTTTTCTTAGAAAACTATGAAAATTAACAGTTGGCGAAAATCGTCGACAGAACTCTCCGCGATAGTGCCGGCTGGTAACGGGTACTACTGAGTAATCCTATGTGATTTCAGGGGTGTCCTACTAAGATCAGGGATCAGTGCTGTATGCTAGGCTCCTCAATAGTTTTGATATACAGAAATGTTCCTTGATTGTGGTTTTGAGGTAAATTTCTTTACAGGGACTGGATCAATGTGTTAAGTGTTTCCATGCATTCTATAACCCCGACACCGGGCCACGTCGGGAAGTAAGGTGGCACGTGGGGCCCAACTGCGGAGGGCGATTTATTTCAGCAGTATGGAAAAGGTATGAAATAGGGAGTAGAAGAAAGCTATATTGTAGTACAAAGCGACATTGGGAATAAGCCGGCGTTAGATGAGCCTTGATTGATCCAATGAACTAGGAGAACGAGCGATTATAGTGGCGGGAGAGGTGGTTAGGTAAGGTCGCGTGCAGTTTGATGGCGAGCGCTTTACTGCGAGATAACAGAATTACGTCAATAGCATAGAGGAAAAGAGCGCTGGAGGCGAATTCAAGAGGCAGCGCTCCGCGAAAGATGAGAAGCCAGTCAGCACGCGGCAGAAAAGCTCTGCGCATGGAGCCAAAAAAGACCATCGACTTCACGGGCGGCTATAGAAAGAAGCAGCGAATGTTTGGTCTACTCCTTTACCGCAAGGAATTATATGCTCCAGATCAGGTATCTTGTGCTTCCTGATGAAGGGCACTTGGTCTCTTCTTTTCGGAATTCACTTCCAAACCTCGCTTGCTGCATTATAGGAATAGTTTGTCGAGAGATGTTTCGATTAAGTTAGTAAATGTTGAGAGGTATTTAACCGAGATAAGAGTAGCTACTACAATATCATCGGCGTATGCAATTATCTGCCTACCCACATTTTAAAGTTCTTGAAGTAGGCTGCCTACTGCTATGTTCCATAGACGCGTTGAGATTACAACTGAGTAGGAACTTTTTTATTGTTGATTTACCTTATGCTGCGCTTATTTCTCGTCCGATTAGCAAAAGTTAGATAAACGAGGTCAGTGAATTGCTTACAACCAGATTTAACAGCGATGTGATAATTGCCGCAGGAGATACCTTACATATGGAAAGAACCCTCAATGCCCAGAAAGGTAACGAGGGTGTATTCTTTGTACAGAATGATCTTTCAACTGTGTGAGTTAGGGAGTGGAGTGCTGCTTTAACTGACCTTTTATAATTTTAGGCATGCTGGGCCTAATTTTGCTGCCTACCTGGTCCCTAATATGCCCATCTCTAAGTCATTCTAGGGATTTGAGCAAGAAAGATGACAGACTATTCGGCCTAAAGTCTTTTGGTCTCGTATGTGAAGTTTTCCGCTTTAGGAATGAAAACTACCCTTACCGCCTACCATTGGATACCCCTCCAATTAATTCGTAACGCTGCCTCAAAAAGTGGTACGGAGACAATCATGTCAGATGTATGCTGTAGGTTAGCGGGAATGATTCCGTTTCGTGCCGGAGACTTACAGGTAATATTCGCTGGGAGGTCCCCATTGTTGCCTACGAGTCGATTGTTGACTGTGACTGTGGAAGTAACCCGGATAGTGCATTTGAATTAGAATCTCTAATGTTTCTTCTCGCTACTAGTTGTTGAATCACCATATTTCTTGAAGGCATAGCTAATATTACTAGCACTCGTTGATAGTATTTTACTTAGTCTGCTGACCTCTGAAGTAGTTTATATTTTATCACAGAAGGCTCTCCATCAGGAGCGCTTTAAATGGACCGTGTTAACCGACTTCACAAAAAGGAGAAGGTTATCAATTCGTCTAAATATAAATTTTTTTATATATGTTACCGCATAGCTTTGGACCACGTTAACCGATTTCCATAATTATTTTTTTAGCGGAAAGGTATTACCTCATAGGTGGTCTCATACTAATTTGGTTTAAATCCGATCATTCGATCAGGAAGAAATTAAGGATAATCTTAAATTTTTATATGAGAATTGAAATCGGTTTTGTTTTTTGCTTAAAAATTAATAAAATCTTTTGCCTTCGGAATGCGCCATTTATTTATGTTTTCCACCATAAAGCAATTGAACACCAAATATTAACGCTTGCTGGGTTGCACCAAGTATTATTTTCACAAGAAGAATTAAAACAATGCATACTTTTGGGAGCTTCTATATAATTTCGTGTATGTTTTTACAGCGATTTGGTAAGTTCAATTTTGTTTCGTTTATACTTTTACACATTAGCCACGCCCCTATTTCCGTTTTGTTGTAACCAATTGTTGAAGGCCGAAATCAAATTACGGCTTGTTTCACGATTGGGCTCTGCCGCCTCTGGCGCCTCTGCTTCATTAGCCAATATCCTACCAATTGGTGTGCGACGAGGTGCAGAGACAAGTTGAATATCCCTGCGTGCATCTGATGCCACCTGCGCCTGTGCGCTACTGGGTGGAGTGACTATTTCTGGTGGTCCAAATTGCAAGCAATAATTAAGTGCATCGCTAAGGCGCGCTGTGGTCTCAACCCACTTGCGTTCGGTGGCATTGCAACACTTGTATGTATTTACGTCGATGACATTCAATTGCTCACGTATTTCACCCGCCAAATCCGAAGCATTATTCGAGATAACATAAATGGGCGAGAGTGTGTTGGAGGACTAAAATTGAGAAGTGATGATAAGAAAGGTAATTAATTATAATAGCTAAAATAAAAAAAAATATCAAATTAACTTTAGTTAATAATAAGTCAACTGTTGCCTTTTGTTCAAACTCTTTTCTTGATTACCACTCACCAAATCTGCGAAACAATCAAGTGCATCCAGTGAGCTGTTGACTGCAGTACAGGTTTGCACGTAACTACAAACACTGGCCGCATCGGTTGATATCTCTTTTTGACTCTGACTTGCCGCCTCTAAGATGGCATTGCGATCAGTTTGAGCCACCTGCAGACATTCCTGATATTCTGAGGACCACTGAGCTGCTGCTTGTTGCATTAGTGGCTCGTACGTGTCGAAGCATTCCGCAGACTCTGTTGGTGAAATACGCGCCTGGCGTGCGAGTAGGAAATTTCCCAACGAAAGTTTGGCAGCACGGTCAGCAATGTGTGTGTCAAGCGGCAGGCGGTTGGCAAACTGTCAAATTGAAAAATAATAACAATAATTGAAGTATTTAAACCTAATAAAAAAAGAAAGCACAAAAGGCGATTTGTAAATCCACTAACCACTGTTGCCAGGATTGTACTTAAAATGCACACTACGATTTTCAACATAACGGAGAGGTTTTTTTTTTCTGAACTTTCTAAAATATTTATGACGACTTTGTTGGCTATTTATCCTTCAATTTTTATAGTAAGCGTTGCTTTGCTCTTTGCTGTTATGCGTTTGACTGAATTCGCAAAGAAGCGCAACGATTTTATATTATTTGCCGGCAATGCTTGTGAGGCCTCTCAAGAGTTTCTTATCATCCAAATCGAGAGCTGTGAAAAATACGTAGATAAATAAATATCCACCCACCGCCACCTTTTCTTTAAGGCATTTGAAGATAAACACTCAGGCACTGATACATTTGAATTTCGGATGTATGACTTTAGGTGTGTGTGTGTGTGCATATTTGGTTGCGTATTTCCAGTAGCCACAATCATCAATCTATGTTCTTTATAATCACAATAATACCTGGGACTAATAAACGGATTTGAACTTGGCAAAAATAACTGAGACAAGTAAATTGAATTAAAAATCGTATTTTAGCAAAACGTTTTATCTACGGCTACTCTCTGATGTCAACAAACGTGGGACGTGTGTGTAATATATTAACGCCGCAGTTTCGTATTTGTTTTGATATACATATGCACATACATAAATATTTTAGCGCTTACGACCTGTAGAAAAGTTGCTGGGACATGAGCTGGGGTATTATGTATTTATAACTAGTGAACCCGGATGGCGTTGAAACGCCCAAAATAGAATTTCAAAAATTTAAAAAATATTCCAAATTTTAGTCAGGGTTAGAAGAGAGATCATCAAAACCTTGCAGCCGTTTCTGAGTGAAGAGCAGTCTCGCATAATGCATGTTTTTATTTTCACCGCATTTCAAGTAACCCTATACCAATGACAAAAGCTCGTAATTTTTCGAATTCCTTTCCCAAGTTATTCTNTATTATGTATTTATAACTAGTGAACCCGGATGGCGTTAAAACGCCCAAAATA